GTACGGTATTTGTGCACCAGAAACGTACTAAGCCTAGGTTGGGAATTTCTGTAAGGGAGCGTCCATTTTGCGCTATGTCATATACCTCGCAGTTTGCAGTGCTTTTGTTGTCGGTTTTTTTAACTTTAAAGTTGCTTTTGTAATCGATAATTTTTGTTTATTTAGGATAGTGCGCTATGCGTACTCAATGGAAATCACGATTAATCAGGAGAATGCACTGTCAGTTTTGGTTGCTGCGCTCTTCCTGAACATTTTTTCGGTCGCCAAAATGTGCTGGAATTTTATCGAACGCCACATGAGCGTATCGAGTTGTCTGATGGTGCACTGCCTACCTGAGCTGCATAAAAATTCGCGTCTGGCAGAGAAGGCAAAGACTTCCGTTCTTCGACATTTCATGCAGACTGCCCAAACCTGCGAGTTTTTGCTGCTGGATGCCGAAAAGGTGCACAAATGCTTAAGCGAAATACAGTGGTGTCTGTCTATATCAGCTAAAGTTCCCTGCTCTGTTCGTGAGAGGGAGCGCTAAATGGTTGTGCTGTTGTTTTCTTTCTAGATCATGGACTTGGGTGCATCCGATGATTTGTACATGGAAACGGAAGATGAAGTGTTTGCTGCTGTGATGCGTTGGTTTGATCACGACAAAGGTGGACGCAAAGCGCATTTATCGGACGTGTTGCAGTTTATTCGAGTTCCATTTCTTAGTCCTCATTGTCTTGAACAGTACTTCCTCGCCTTTCTAAATGGCTTCCACAGTACCGCGGCTGATAACACGCAAAATCTGTCAGGAGTTATTACTGAATTACCGGGACGCAGGCCGGATGCAGTGGTATCCAGATGCCGACCCCGGGAGTTCTATGGTACTGTACTGCTGCCCAAACATTATTAAGCGTTACTAGGGTAGGGTAATACTCGTATTTCAAACTGGAGCTCTCACTGATCTTTTTGGGTTACTGTTTGGCTAGCATCATGGAATTCATTTGCCTAGCAAAACGATGAGGATGCGTAGTCGACTATAAAGTTACAAACGATAGCATTATAGTATAAGTCCCAACGTCAGGATTTCGACAAATTTTTAAAATCGCTGACTGGTGATTACTGCACTTCCTCTGTTAATATCCGCAAATTTAGCACATGGCAAATCAACAGAATTTTCATACGTCTAATATTTAGGTAAACTTTTATCTTTTTTTCTTGGCCGGGATTACGGTCAGTTTTTCGCATCCTATTTAGGTTTGCTCAAAGTGATTCTCTGTGTTGGTGGTTACGACGGCACGAACAGCAAAGCTACGTACATGTTTTGTCCTTCCATGGCGGCTTTTTGGCACATGGGCGAAATGCCATACGAAGTATCTGGCTGCGGCGTAGTTGTGATGAGCAAGAATTCAACTTTCGTATGCGGCGGATATACAAGCTATACCAGAAAGGAAGACCAGCGCGTCAGCCAATATGATGCAGTTCGTAATGTGTGGAAACTTGTTGCGCCAATGCAGACGGCGCGGATAAACTTTGGCGTGGCAGTGTTGCGAGGTTATATCTATGCTGCTGGAGGGGGTATTTACGCGCATCCAAATTGGGAAGCAATCCATTCTGTGGAACGCTATGACCCTCAAACCAACTCTTGGCAGTTTGTGGCTAATTTACCGATTAATGGTTTGTTGAATCCCGCGATGGTGGCAGTAAAAGATCGGCTTTACATATTTGGCGGAAGATCTCAGGGAGTTGTGACGAACGCTGCATTTTGCTACGATCCAGCCAGCGATGCCTGGAACAGGTTGGCCGATATGCCTACAGCTCGGGCGGGATGTTGCGCGTGTGTCGGATCCAACGGATTGGTGTATGTCATCGGTATGAAGTACTACACCTGTTTACCGTTAGAACGTTATTTGCCTTTAATATTATATTTTCTGTCTGAATATGTATAGGTGGAAAAGTTGATCAGCCTTTGAAATGCGTGGAGGCTTATGACACGACGACAAATGCATGGCTGAGAAAAAGTAGGTACTTCGGTTTTTTGGGTTTCTGTTGACGAGCGTTGAAGCGTAATCTACCTATCTGCTGGGGGTAATTGTGCTGCAAATTAGGTGATCTGATTACGAAACGCACTGCATCTGGGTGTGGATATGTGGATGGTAAGATTTACGTTCTCGGTGGTTTGTCCGCCAACGCGGAAGTCTGCCAGAGTTCCATAGAGGTGTACGATGTGGATACTGACGCTTGGACCATGCACGAATGCCGATTGCCCAAGGCCATCCGAAGTTTTGGTTGTGCAGTGATGAGTATGAAGAAAGGTTAGTGAAACGGGCAATAGCCTCTAAATGAACATATGCATTCGTTTAAATTTTCGCATTGCCCAGTTATTTTTGTTGCGTTTTCTTCTATAGGAGCTAATATGGCTTTGGTGTCGCAGTCTGGTTAATGGCATAACAGAACTGTCAGATGGATAGGCGCCACCGACATGTTTGCGGTGGAAAAAAGTGACGACAAGATCTTTCACAACAGCACAGACTGTTCAGTACCGTAGTATACTATTATTTTTTTCTTTGCATTATGTTATTTACGCCTGCATACTTACCCATAGGCCATAAGTGTAGTTGAAAACGCGCGGCGTATAGCCGGTATAGGCTATAGACTTGAATAACGAGAGTTTCGATGCGAACAGAATATTTCAGCGTTTCGATATCAGCGGAATAACGTATAGAGCCAGAGAAACGGGCGTTTCGATATATCATTAGAATATTTCTATACTAAACTGAGACAGTGTTTTCATTATGTTTGTCATTTTTGGAAAACGTTTGAATACTCTTGTAACGAGCGGATCGATCCGTTGGACTTGCATCTAACGAGTTAAACGAATTGCATTTTGTGTGCAGTGGCATTTTTTGTGCATGGTGAAATAGAAGACGCTGCAACCGGGTTCGTCCCAGAATGTCTAGAGTAGTCTAACAAGACATGTGATTAGTGGCCCTACAATAACTGCGGCTTTGTTTCTGCTTTCTACTTATGATGCTAATATTTGCCTTCAGAGCTCAGACTTAGGATGCCGGAGAAATTTGAACGGTATCAATTTCGGGAACACTTTTTTTCGACTTACTTCAATGGAAGTACAGAAGTTATAAATGGCAACAGACCAACAGCAGATTTCAGTGAACTTTAGCAATATTTTTAGCCCAAACAGCATCTTTTACTTCTTCGAGAAAGCATTATATGACAACCGGCGCTGGATCGGAGCCTTAATTCTGAACGTACCCATACGCCGCTCGTATGGGTGCGTTTTATCGCCTCATTACCTCTTAGGACATTTGCATTCGCAACTTCCGGAGCGTTCGTTGCATACCAAAAACGGCTGTCAGCGTAAATATGGCCCTGCCGGGCCAAGTTGGAGTAATTTTCTCAAAAATTCCCCTGAGTTGTCCGTCACCAAATAAAAACTGTTCATCAAATCTTTTCATGATACCTGTTTATGTCCTGTATCTTTTGCATTTAAGATTTCCATGCTCAAAGAGCGTTTCGAATTACAGTTGGGATAAAAATTATAACAGACTGTAGCTGGAAAAAGTGGCTTGACCCATCCTACTTATTAGGCACTGTCCCATTTAAAATTCGTTTGAAAACTGAGTTTATGTCATAACCTGAAATCTGTAACTTTGAACTATTCCCCATTCAGTGCTCTTGCGAATTACTCTTTGTACCAGCCCATTTCAACCAGGCGTGCGTGACCTTTGCAGTGCACCAGAGAATTGGAGGATGAGCTCCTCTGCATACTCGCCGTATAGTCGCCGAGTGCCGGACGCAAATCTTTTTAGTAAAATCTTGTTCATGAAGTTTTGGGGGTCACTATAAGTCTCTCTATCCTAACAACAGGCCCGGGGTATTCCGTTCAAGAGTGTTCAAACAGCAAATGTATGTTTTTTTCCACAGCTTTCTCGGTTTTTATTCTACTTATTCGGCGCAACAGAAAGCTCGACGTCGTAATAATTTCCAGTGGCCAACGTACTCCTCATACGGCTGACGATGACTGTGGCTGCGAGTGATTCTTGGATCGCTGGCATAATTTCCCGATCAGTTCTTGGTAGTTCACAAACCACAAACAAGCAGCTAACAGCGATCAAATTCGAATACAAAATACCATGATTATCGTATTATAGGCCCTCCCACAACAGAAGCCCTTCCCCGGCTCAGGTCGAATTAAATTTATGTTGTCAAAAAATTAAATTCGTTTTTCCTGCAAAATAATTAGTCAAATTTGGATATCAAGTAGAATACTGTAGTTATTCGGTGCAGACTCGAGTTCGCCCCTGTATTATATCCTTTGCACTGCCTGCGCCTGAGCCCCTCGGTATCCTCACTGTATCGCCTGGGACCAAGCGGATGCAGACTATCTCCCGCCTCGGCGGAAGGTATGCAGATTCCCTCAGTAATTAGTTACAGCTCAAGGATCGAATCAGCGACTACAGTCTGCACTCTACAGTAGTATTTTAAGTGTCTTAACGGACGCAAGAAGCTTCCATGTATCACAGTACTGTACAGTCACTACAGTGTACTGGTAACTGGTAAGCCACTTTTCATAACATTTCATAACATTTTCATAATGATCCATCAGGCAAGTACTACTCAG